TTCAACTCCCAGAAGTGTGGACTTCAACTCCCAGACTTCAACTCCCAGAAGTGTGGACTTCAACTCTCAGAATTCAACTCCCAGAAGTGTGGACTTCAACTCCCAGACTTCAACTCCCAGAAGTATGGACTTCAACTCTCAGAATTCAACTCCCAGAAGTGTGGACTTCAACTCCCAGAAGTATGGACTTCAACTCCCAGAAGTGTGGATTTCAATTCCCAGAAGTATGGACTTCAACTCCCAGAAGTGTGGACTTCAACTCCCAGAAGTGTGGACTTTAACTCCCAGAATTCAACTCCCAGAAGTGTGGACTTCAACTCCTGGACTTCAACTCCCAGACTTCAACTCCCAGAAGTATGGACTTCAACTCCCAGATGTGTGGACTTCAACTCCCAGAATTCAACTGCCAGAAGTGTGGACTTCCAACTCCAGGAATTCTATTCTGGGGATTCTGGGAGTTGGAGTCCACCCAGCTTAAAGTTGCTGAGATTGAGAAATTCCGTCCTAGAACGAGGACCCAAAACAGAGGACACGTATGAACATTAGATACCTTTGCATCCAGCAGAAGATTATCAGGTTTAATATCTCTGTGAATAAACCCTAGTTGGTGAATGGCATCAATAGCAAGCACGGTTTCAGAGATATAAAACTGTGTTTCTTCCTCAGATAGCGTATCCTTCTTCATGAGCAAAGTCATCATATCACCTGAATCAGGGGGAACAGGACATAGTACTGTATTTGGCTAGTGTCAAAAAACGAGAAAGATACACTTGAGTTATTTCTGAGCAGCTTCCTTTATTGCTCCTCACCTACAGACAGAATCTTGCCAAACTAAAGCGGACCCCTTGCGTCATTTAAGATATAGTTTGAGAATTGCTAGGGAGGAGCTGTCTTATCTCTTTTTCTCCCAGCCAAGGTATCTGAACTTCACTGTCTCTTGGTTCTCTGGAATGCGGCCCCTCTCTTCTGGGAATCCAGACTACATTCCACCACAGCGGGTTTTTCGATATAGGAAAAGGGAGTAAAAATGATACAACCTCCAGTATTCCAATAATTACTATGATAATATGGCCAGGATCATAGAACATAGAATTACTAAGGTTGGAAGGGATCTTGGAGAACTCCTAGTCCAGGGGTAGGCAACCTTGGCTCTTTTATGACTCGTGAACTTCAATTCCCAGAATTCCTGAGCCAGTATGGCTCAGCTTGGAAACCTCTCCCTTTCTCCTCAGCGTGGCTGGCTCAGGAATTCTGGGAGTTGAAGTCCACGAGTCATAAAAGAGCCAAGGTTGCCTACCCCTGTTCTAGTCCAACCCCACAGGAGATCCTATACTGTTATGGACAAATGGCTGCCCAATCTCTTCTTCAAAACCTCCAGTTGTGGAGCACCAACAACTTCTGAAGGTAAGCCATTCCACTCATTAAATTGTGGAAATTAATCACAAAGACACTTCAGTAAGGGAGAAGGAGAAGGCATTCCAGAAGTGTTATATGGTCCAGCTCCATTAAAAAAAAACCCATTGTTACCAATATTCTCGGTTGATTTTTAGATTCATAGCAGATTTATCTTAATATTACTGGGGCACAGACTCCAAGTCAATGCAAATAAAATATTTACCACCATTAAGAGGGAGGCAAAATGGCTGCCAGGACTGAGGATCTGACAGGCGACACAAATCCTGGCCTTGGGAGAATGGCAGTTTTTCACTGACTATATTCAACTGAAATAATTTCACTGAATTGTTTTACCTCCTGGAAGAAATTCCATAATCAGGTAAAGGTTGTGTTTGTCCTGAAAACTGTAAAACATCTTCACGACCCAGGCACCGTCCGCTTCAACCAGGATATCTCTTTCTGCTCGTATATGAGCTACCTGCGAAGAGGAACAGGGCAAATCAAATCCAAGCTGAAGGTTAAAAAAATGGATCTGCCTCTCCAGCAAATTGGTACATAAACAGCTTTCCGTGCAATGAAGCTTTTATTGCTGTTAGGTGTAAGGCGGCCTTTCCTAACTCACTGTTCCTCAGTAGAGGTTGGACTACTCACTGCAACCCTCATTAGATTGGTCTCCTATCCTCCAAAGCTGGAGATATCTGGCTCTACTGATAGAAGAGGATATTTTTAGCTCAGGGTTGAACTGTGAGGTTCTTGGTGCTCTCTGAGTTTGGTTGTTTTCTTGGAAACGTTTCATTAAAGTGTAAACCCCACTCCCTTCTAGCACTGATGATGTTACCTAGTTGGGTCATGAAGTGTCTACAAGAAAACCACCAAGCTCAGAGAGGAGTAAGGACCCCTCAATCGTCGTCTTCCTCCTTCTTCCTTCCTTCTTCCCTCCTTCTCTTCTAGCACTGATGATGTTACATGCCAAGCGGAGAGCATCAAGGATCCCTCTCCCTCCCTCCCTTAGTCTCTTCCAGCACTGATGATGTTACCTAGTTGGGCCTTGAAACATTTGCAAGAAAACCATCAAGCTTAGAGAGCACCAAGGAGCCCTCATGTAAACCACGAGCTACAAATATTCTCCACTATCAACAGTCCTCCGCTCTGCAAACCCCTCTCCCTTCTAGTACTGACAATGTTACCTAGTTGGGTCATGAAACGTCTGCAAGAAAACCACCAAGTTCAGAGAGCATCAAG